TCCTGTTCCTGAGGCCAGCCCCCCCCCCCCCCCCGTGTACTAATCATAACACAGCTCATTCAACATCCTCACTTAGATCACGGGTCCCTCAAAGTTAGAGGCCCACGATGCTCTGATCTCCAATCCCCCAGCGTGGTTCTCATGCTCCTCTCCTGCCCTTTCTATCTAAGCCAAAGTGTGGTAGCCATCCTCAATTCCTGCCTTACCCTCCTTGCTCTTACACTCACTAGCTGAAGTGAAGGAGACACCAGCAGGAAAAAATGGATGGAAAAAATGAAGTGAGGGATGGGGAGGTATCACACATGCCAGAAGAAGGTGTAAGTTCACAGTAGTTGGTCTGGGAATTTGTGATGGAAGGGTGGCTTAAGAGGGTGAGGGAGCCACTCTGGAAAAAAACTAAAGCTCTCAAGGCAGAGGCCAGAGCAAGTACAAAGTCCCTGAGGCAGAAGCATGTCTCACACAGAGAGAAGAGACCACTGGCTAGAGCATGGGAGCAGGGGTAGGGCAGTAAGCTCAGATCAGGGAGGAGACGGGGCCACAGGCCTGCTTCAGAAGGCACAGGGCATGAGTGACAGGGGTTGCGATGGATACCCCATGGTCAAAGGACTGTTTGTAAGGTGGAAAATTAACTCCGGGAATGCTCATTTGGATGCAGCAAGGTGTGGATGCGTTGTGAGGGATGGGACCTGGCTGTCCCAGGGGAGCACACTTGAGCTTTCCCTGCAGAACCCCTGGGCCAGCTGACATGTCACTGCCCAGCACTACAGCTCCAAGCCCACATGGCTGCCACTCCCTCCAAACCCATGCTTTCTGAGGGTGCGACCCCAGAAGGCCCTGGCCTTCCTGGGTCTCACCAGGCGAGTTCATCACTCCCTTCAGATCCCAGTGTCAAGGGCTCACCCTGGCTGCCACTGCTGGCAGTCAGGTACTTCGTATCAATTCCAGGCACTTCCTCTTTTAGATTGGCTTGCTGGGCTGGGCTCCCAGCTCTCCTTGCAGCAAGAGAAGTTGAGTCAGGACAACGTCAGAAAAATCATCACTCTCTACAAACAATGTAACTTTGTATGTATGAAATCACTGCTTCTCAGGAGAGTCCTTCTACATGACCAGACTGGGCGGGGGCCAACACATTCCCCATGCCACTCCCAGAAAGCTGTCTGGAAAACACAGGCTTTGTTCAGGTATGAAAGTGACCAGCAATGTTGGTTGTATACTAGGAAACCAGGACAACTAAATAGGGGCTGACACATAGTGTGGACAAAACATTGTCCCAGGAACAAGTCAAGAAGAGACTTGAGGGAGACAAATAGAGTTTTAGTATCAGTGTTGGACAGAAGTAACACAAAGAACTATGGTGTGTGGAGGGGTCTGAGAGGTTTGCCAGAGGTGGGTATCACCAGCCTATGAGGACCACGTGGATTTGCCAATGGGCAGAGCCAGGTAGACAGTAGAGGTGAAGTACAAGGAACAGGCTGAGCGGTGGGACCAGGGGTAATGCAGCCAAAGAAAGCTCTGGAACCCAAGCACAGTACAGGCAAAACCACACCGAATGGAGCCCAAAGAGACCAACATTGCTGCTGGTAGAATGGCTGGCCAGAGCAGTAGGAGAGGGTGAAAAGAAGCCATACTGAGCCTTTGATAACTTTGTGTGGACACCAGAATTTGGGGACAAATTAAAGCTGGGCATGGTGGTACATGCTTGTGGTCCCAGCTATTTGGGAGGTGGAGAGTTGTGGCTCCAGGTCACCTTAGACAGAGACCCTATCTGATAAGGAAAAACAAAACAGATGAAAAGAAAAAAGGACAGGGATTGTGGCTCAAGTGATAGCGCACTCACCTAACAAGCAGGAGGCTCTGAGTTCGAATTCCAACACTGAAAAAAGAAGAAAACATTTAGGGACTAATTGGAAGGGGAAGAGAGGAGTTTAAGGTGACACTGAATGAGAGGGTCAGGTGTGTTGCTCCAAGTTTGGATGTGGATGAAGATGTGGGTGAGAGGTAGAGGGTTTGGGCTTGAGGAGTTGTTGATCTCCCAAGCAAAGAGGGCAGGAGGTAGCCAAAGCAAGAATCTACAATTCAGGAGTGTAGGCTCAGCTCTGCGATGAGGTTTGAAGGGAAGGAAGTAGATGTTTGGGGAGACATTGAGGACAAGAAGAAATGAATCTTGCTGGCCAGCTATGTGGGCCTCCATCACTTCTAGACTGTTGAAGAGACTCCTTCACTACCCAGCTCTTCGCTCTTACTACCCTGTCAGGCCTGGTCCCACACTCTTTTAGCTGATCCAGCCCCCAGGCAGTTTTCTCCTCAGCCCCCACTGCCCCCACCTCAGCACAGGGCCCTGCATATTAACTTTGGTTGGGTTGCCAAACACTTTAAGGATTGGACGATCAGCCCAGAGCACCTCTAAGGCATTGACTAATTAGGTCCTCCATGAAGGCTGAAAGACTGACTCCTTGATTCACTGCTGGACTGGAGGTCAAGAAAGAGTAAGGGGGAGGCTGGTTAGCAATGGAACAACTTGAGGATACTGTACACCCAGCATCTGCTCTTCCTTGCCTGGCTTATTAGCACATCATCATAACTGGATCTTTATACAGCAATGTGGACACATTTAGAAACACCTGTGGAAAACTAACCAGTCACAGACAGATGGCAAACAGACTGGTGTTATCACCAGCACTAGCTACAGAATGTTTCAGGTTCTTCCAAGCACAGGTAGAACTGTATGATCCCACTTTGAGGGCCTTGTTGAGGCCATGTGACTTTCTCTGGCCAAATGGACAGGAGCAAAGACCTTAAACTTCCAGAAGGGGAAAAGTTTAAAACTGGCACATGATAGACTATACTTTGTTTCCTCCTTTTGGGGGCTGCATTGGCCTAGATCCGTTGGTGGACTTAGTGACCAGGCCCCATTTACAAACCCTTCTCTAACAGGTACTGGAGTGAAAAACATTGTATTAAAAAAAGGAAAAGAAAGAAAATGAATAAGGAAGAACCCAGTCTAAGTAATATTACACTGTGATACCAATGGAGGGCCCAAGGCATTCTGGGTTGTTCTGGGATGGAATTCCATTAGTGGCTTGTAGGTTGGTCAAATAGATGGTCTGCATCCCTGGACCCATTTATGAGACTCCAAGCATGTGTTCCATTCTCTCTCACACTTGAAAATACTCCCGAGGGTGACATCAGCCTCATAAAACCCAAGCTGTAAGAATGAAGATGACATTTCCCACAGCAGACAGCAGAGTGAGGTGGAGTTAAGAAACGAGGCACACTGGGTCTGGACCCGCCATGTCTGTCCAGATGCTCAGCTCCTGTGTACCTTGCCCTTATCACAGGCCTCCTGGGACCTCCATACCATGGTTGTGTTACTGTCCCCTTCACAAATAGGAACACCGAATTAGAGAGTCAGAGCATGGCAAGGGTTGGACAGGGACAGTTGGGACCACTGCATGGCAGCAGAGGTGATAATCCTCTTCTCTAAAGAGATTCTGAATAGCAGGTGTGACTTGTGAAAAAACTTGCGTGGGACAAGGAGGAGGGGGAGACTATTCAGGCTGCAAGGAGAGCGGCAGACTCTGGTGTGGCTTCTTACCTTTCACAGGAAGGCAGAGGTGTGTGGCAGGGAGCTGTTTGGAGAGAGGACTTCGCTAGTACCTTGCCCAGAGGAACACAAGCAGCTTGGGGGATAGAGGGGTTGGGAACTGGGCCTCTACTTGGAAGGCCACTGGCACAAATGTCAACTACTCCTGGCCTGCGGCCTGCAAACATCACCATGTGGCTTCTCAAGAGCCCCACAGGGCGACTTCTCTGCAACCTGATGCGTGCATGAATCCTGGGATCCTAAGGACTCAGTGGTAGGAGAATCCAGAGACACAAGAGGGCGCTTTAACCAAATGGCATGAGCAGAAAACCAAGTAGAGAGAGGGTCAGCGTTCAGAAACACCTTTGGTTCTGTGTTCCTCCATGGAACCATGACTGGTATTGAAGTAGTGTGCTTCAGTGACATTTGTGCCCCTTGACCTGTTCCCATCATTGGGATAACCAGTCCCTCCCTCCCCCCTCTGAGAGACCCTCAGACTAGTGCCACCAGAGGATGCCAACTGGGGATCTTGGGGAGTGTGGCAGTCTCTGTTTTCTTCTTTTTCAACTGTCTGGAGGGCTTTTGTGCCTGTTGCTTGAGGCACCTGTCATTTTGATCTCCTGTTGGTCCCAAGTGCTGGAGTATCACAGGCCCCCAGTGACAGCTCATGTTGACCAAGGTTTGGAGGTCAGTTTTCCTACACACTGTTGTCCTTCCAGACCACGTAGGACTGGGACCAACCACCTCGATCACAAGAGGGACACAGACACAAGACCCTGAGACAGACACCAAGGCACCTGCTCACAGACACCACACCTTGGAAGCAGACACGCAGCCACAAAGAACACAGCTGGCACGAGGAATTTTTGCAAAGCACATCTAAAGCAAGGTGCACTACTAGAGCCCAGAAGGTTCCCAGAGTGGCAAGTTCTGAAACACATAGCTCATCAGGTTTCCAAAGGTGAGCACAGAAGGTTAATAACCAGGGCTGCAATCAGTCAGCCTCAAGCCCAGCCAGTCTGAAGGAGTGGCAGCCTCATGCGCAGGGCCTGAGTGAGTACCCATGGAAAACTGGGCATGTGGGGATGACCTGGGCAGACAGAAGTGACTTCTGAGAAACACATTTCCAAGGAATTGGTAGTCCAGACAGCAGCCACAGGAGACCCACCATCTCGGCCAGCAGCCGAGGATTCAAGGATGGAGAAAGGACTGGACTCCCAGGTCCTCAGCAAACACCAAACATCTCAGCAAGGACCCTCCCTCCCACCAAATGTTCTCAAATGGGAAGCTCATGAGTCCCCCAATGCAGAGAGGCATTGCAGGAACCATGGGCACCCGGGGGCACTGCCCTGCATGGGCAGCACGGCCTCTTATTATATACCTAGGAAGCAGACTGAAATCCAGGTGAGTGTCTTACCCTCCTTCGAAGATTTTGATCCTCGCCGGCTCCCCTCTCTTGGAGGCAGGAGCATCCTCTTCCGGCTTCCCTCGCTTCTCCTCTTCTTTCTCCACTCTAGTTATGTCTTTCTGGCCTTCTGGGGAAACCAGTGACGAGAGGTGCACCTGCCCACCGCAGGGACGACAAATCACTGCTGGTTAAATTTGTACTCTGGGCTAGAAGTGTCCCAATATTGTCTTGAATGGCATTGAAGACATGCACAGAGACTCCCCTGATCCTCCCCCTTCCTGCTGGAGCAGTGCCAAGTACTCAATAGAATCAAAGAACTGATCCACTGAGGTGCAGCCTCCCCTCTATCCAGGACTCTCAGTTAACGTTCGTTCTTACTTTTTTTGGGGTTAGTTATGGGGCTTGAACTCTGGGCTTGGGTGCTGTCCTTGTGCTCTTCAGCTCAAGGCAAGCGCTCTACCGCCTGAGCCACATCACCACTTCTGGTTTTCCAGTGGTTCATTGGAGATAAGAGTCTCTCGGACTTTCCTGCCTGGGCTGGCTTTGAACCACGATCCTCAGATCTCAGCCTCGAGTAGCTAGGATTACAGGCGTGAGCCACTGGCGCCCGGCCTCAGTTAACGTTCTTATGGGAGTTGCTTTTCTCTTGTTCTTTTGTATGAATCTGGGAGCTCCTGGGAACAGGTCTTTATCCGTATCCTGTTTTCCTCAATCACCTTGGCACCCAAAACAGGTCTACTTCAGTGAAGAGGCCCAAAGGATACTGAACAAATAAAGACTATACTCTATCTTTGGAATTAACTGGTCCAATTCTCGTTAATAGATCAGAAAGCCAAAGCCACACGGCTGGTTAAGGACAAAGCTGGGAGTAGAGTCCAGCCTTTCCAGGATCCTGACCCTCCTGAACTAGGACCAAAGCCCAGGGGCAAGCTAACTGACCATAGCCCACAGAAGCTGTAAAAGTTTTGGGCTACTGCATTCTCTTGACAAAGTATTGAGCCTCAGTGATCTGGCTCTATAAGGAGGGCTAGCATTGACCACTTCCACTATTCCTAGAACATGTTCTTTGAACCCACCATAGGTGTAGGGAGCACAGGTGCCAGGCTGAGGGCTGGGACAAAAAGCACCTGCCTGGCAAACAGGGAATCTGAGTTCTAGCAAAAATCTACACTGCCACTGTGGCAGAACAGCACCTGTGGATTTCCAAGCATATGGTTTCTATTCCTCATCTGGCCTGTGATTCAAGAGGGACCAAAGGGTCTAGCAGACAGATGGTACCTTCTCCCTTATACTCTGTGGTGATGCCTGAATCAAGCTGGAGGATGTTGGTTTCAGTGGCACGATCCTTGGTACCAAGAAACACAGTGTTAGCACTGAATAGGAGACCTAGGATTTATTTTAGCTTTGTGTGTGTGTGTGTGTGTGTGTGTGTGCGCACGCGCGTGCGCGCGCGCGCATACATGTGTGCATGTGCGCGCACGCACACATGCATGCACTGGTACTGGGACTTGAACTCAGGGTCTAGGTACTGTCCCTTGGCTTTTTTGTTCAAGAGGTGCTCTATCACTTGAGCCACAGATCCACTTCCAGCTTTTTGCTGGTTACTTGGAGATAAGAGTCTCATGGACTTTCTTGCTTAATTAGCCTGGCTTTCAAACCACAATCCACATCCTCAGATTTCAGTCTCATAAGAAGCTAGGATTATAGGAGTGAACCACCAGTGCCTAGTTTCATTTTAGCTTTTAATGGTAATCTGAATTAGTATAGATAAAAACATTTACTGGGTATCAATGGGCCATCTACTGTTTTATGCACACTTTGTATACTTTAACTCATTTATTTATCCTCCATAGTCCTGTAAGATAAGTATTATTGTTATGTGTGTGTGTGTGTGTGTGTGTGTGTGTGTATGTGTGTGTGTGCGTGTGTGTGTGTGTGTGAGTCTTGAGGCCTGAACTCAGGCACTGTCCCTGAGCTTTTTTTTTCTCCAGGCTAGCACTCTATCACTTGAGCCACAGTCCCATTTTTGGCTTTTTTGCTATTTAATTGGAGATAAGAGTCTCATGGACTTTCTTTCCTGAGCTGGCTTCAAACCACGATCCTCAGACCTCAGCCTCCTGAGTAGCTAGAATTATAGGCATGAGCCACTAGTACCCAGCTGTTATCCCTGTTTTAAAGTGAAGAAACCACAGCACAGAGGAGAAGTAACTAGTCCCAGGTCACACAGGAAGTAGGTGGGCTAGTGAGATTCAAACCATGGCAATTTGACACTGGAGTGCTCATTGATAATTTCCTTGTTCTGGGCTTGTCAAAATGAACAAGGAGAAAAACAAAAGAAGGAGCACGTGGCAGCAAAGTGGACTCCCACACAACTTGGGTTTCTCTAGGGCTGAGACACAGAGAAAAGTAAAAAGTCAAACGCAAATGTGCTAGGATGGCCTAGACCTGTAAGAAGATGGTTGGAAAAATCTTTGAGGTGCTTAGATTAAGTAAAGGATGTTTTCAGAACAATTAACAAAGAATGGAAGCCACAGAATGACAACTGCCAGCTCCGTGTAACAGAGAATTTTCTTAAAGCATTATTCAACGATGGGTTGGGTTGAACCAGGAGGTGATGAGCTCTCTGGAACCGGAGATATGCAAGCAGAGGCCAGAGAAAGTATAACTGTAGAAAGGCCTCAACTTGTTAACCATGAAGTTAAAGTAATGTATTAGCCCGGTATACTTTTGGAAGGAAATGTGGAAAAGTTAGAAGATTTTAGCTCATTTTATGAAAGTAGCATTATAAACCATCACTTTATTGGCCACAATTGCAATGTTATCTATTCCAATAAATCAAAGGACACACTGGTAAAGAAACCCAAAAAGTATGCTTCCTTGCAGTCACAGTTGTCAGGGCGAAAATTTGTCTCCTTCGGCTGGTTCTAGTTCTACAAATGTAACCTGAAGACCATGTGGCCTTAAAAGCCCATCAAGAGCTTTGGCATTCAGTGATAAGAAGAACAAAGCTGAACTCACCTCTGTCATGCGTGGCTTGTGAGAGCTGGCTGGCACGAGCCTTCCTGACTCAGGATGTGGAGCTGTGGCCATGGTGTATGTCTCTTTGCTCACCTTCTGCTTAGACCTCAGGAGGGACAAAGCAGCTTTAGTGGAAACCCCTGGAAGGTTGGGGTTGTACAAACTTATGCACCAACCAGCGTAAACAGAGGACCTCCTATCTGCATGCTGGATGTGATTTGGCTTAATATAGTTTAGATAGCACCAACTGACATTAGTGGTCGTGTGGAGGCTGGGGAACTGAAGTACCTTCTTTGAGTCCGTACCTTCTTGTGACTTGGCTGTTCTGGAGGATATTTCTGACAGAGACAGAGAGCTGGGAGGTGCCAAGGGCGGGAGGTCAAGCTGTTCCTTGGAATCTTCTTGCTTCATGCTTAGTGGACAAAGCCCTCTTCGGTGAGGTTTTCCAGATGACTGGGCATAGTCCTTCAAAGCTTCTGAGCTTGAGGCTGTCCCATGGGGCAACGTGGGATGATGAGAGAGAGGAGGAACTTCTGGGTCTGATGGATCAGAGGACAGGCTGGACAATGCTTCTGGCTCTCTCCTGCCCAGGCCCTGGCTGACTTGGTGGGATTTCTCTGGCCTCTTGCCATCCTCAGGGCTGGTCAGCACTACACTGCATGGTTTCACCAGCTCTAGTTTCTCGTGGACCTTGGAAGCCTCCTCTTCCTTTACCCTTTTCTGCTGCTGGGTTTCCATGGTGAGCTCAAGGCTGCCAGCTGGGGAGAGAACACGCTTGCTTCCCCCAGCTGTTGATGAGCTTCCCTCCAGGCTCAAGACCCCCTCCGAGGAGGAGGAGGTGCCTTTTCTTTCAGGGAATGCCGCAGGTACTCTCAGGTATGGAGTCTGGAAACTTCTGCTTTGCTCTTCGCTTAGCCCAGATGGTCTGAGCCTGGTGTCGTACACGTCTGTTCCGCACACAGCCGTCCCTGCGGCTGGCAGCTCCTCACACTTGGGAAGACCCACGCTTACTGAGCTGCCTGGGGACTGGGTCACTAAGGTCTGAGAAAGAGTGGTATACATTGCACTCCCATAGGACGGCATGTTGGTCTGGATTCGGACAGGCACCACCAGGGATGCCCCGGAGTCCCCACAAGCAGGCAGAGCAGGTGGAAGGGCCGCGGTGGGCTCTGGGGAGCTGGTCAGAGGAGCCACAGGGGGCAGCCGGATGTTGCTGCTGAACTCAGTGCTGCTGGAGGGGCCAGAAGGTCCTGTTGCCAGTGGGGCCAGGCTAGTTTTGATTGGGGGCAGATGGCTTTCCACCTCCCCAGGGAGCTGCAGTGCAAACTGGGATGGCACAGGCAGGTAAAACCCGGAAGAGAGTGCTGAGGAAGCAGGGTGTGGCATGGGGAGGAATGAGGGGGGCTGTCGGAAGGGGATACTGGCAGGGTGAGGCAGAAGCTGGGGAAGATGGAGCTGGCTGGGGTGCAGGACAGTAGGTTGAAGAGGAAGCGGTGGGGCTTGAAATACAGAAGGAGGGAGTGGGGGCATGGAGTATGGGGAGGAGAGGAGGCCTGCCATGGCCTGGGTGGCCATGAAGTCTGAAGACTGTCCCGGTTCATGCTGCAAGAGATGCTGGAAGGAGAAGAGGGAGACGGGTGGGGGCAAGTATGGCTTCTCCTGCAGGGGCAGCTGGGCGACAGGGGTGTGGAACACCTGCAGGGCTTCTGTGTAGGGTGGGGTGGACCCCAGTGGGGGCCTGTCCTGCACCTGGCTCTTGCTTCCTGGGTGCCCAGTGTGCGAGGTGACTGCCAAGGAGATCTGGGGCACTGAGCTTTTGGCCGAAGGTTTGGAGGAAGAGGGCTGTGGCTCCTCGCTTTCCTGCCTTCCCTTTGGGGTGGCCTCTAGCTCAGCTTCTGGAGGCCGGCTCAGAGACGCCTGCCTCACCAAAAAGCATTTTCTCCTCTCTGGTGGGGCTGCTGGGGTTGGTGGGGCAGCTGGCGCTGCTGCAGCCGGGCCTGCCAAAGACAAGCTGCCGTAGTCAAAGGATTTGCTGCGTGCCTCAGTCATTTGTGTAGAATGGGACACGTTGGGGCTCTGCTCTGAGGCTGACCTCCGCATCTCTCGGGCATGCGGGTGGTGGCTGGGGACAGTCAGCATGTGGGTGCCCGTGGGTTTGGAGCGGACTTCGGATGAGGGCCCAGGGACCTCAACTTTCCCATGGTCCTCCCTGTCAAACGAGGCTGAGCGGCTGGAGCCACTCAGAGAGATACTGCTTTCCTGGCTGGGACTGCGAGACAGAGGCACAGATGACTCAAAGCTAGACTCCCCCGATGACTGGGCCATCTCTGCTAGGCGCAGCCTCTTCTTCTTGGGAGGCAGCTTCTCGGCAGGGAGCTGGGCGAGTGTCTGGCTGCGCTGGGGCCACTGAAACTCCTCTGTCTTTTCAGGTTCCTTTGGGGGTGGCTCGGGCTCTGTGTCTGGTCGGTCAGGCTCCTCACTCACCAGGATCTCAGGGACTTGAATATTGGGCTGGCGTACTAACCTAGGCTGCAGGGAGTGAGCTGGACGGCCTGGCGGGGCAGGTGGCAGGGTTGAGAACTGGGCCAAGGGCTTGTCTTCCCCTTCTAGGCCACTGGACTGCTCGTGAGGGTCAGACTTCTCAAAGGAGCTGGTATGCTGGATGACAGAAATCTCTTTGGATGTTGTTCTCCTTTCCTTCCCTGATTCTGACCCAGATCCTGGCTTGGGAGTCCTTGGCTGGAAGCTTGTGGTTCCCTCCAGTGATTTACTTGGCTCTGCTGGTGACTTGGTGGGCTCCTGGGGGAGGTTCCGAGCAGTGTCAGATGGTCCAGGGCTGCTAAACTGACTTTTGGTCAACTCAAACGCGGGTGGTTCTTCCTCATCCCCAAGGCTCTTCTCTTTTCTTCTCTTCCTCAGTGGGGTGAGTTCCAAGGTGGCCCCCAGTTTATAATGCATCATCTGGGACCACGGCTCATGCTCTGCTTGGCCCTTTTCAGCTTCTGGAGAGGCACGGGCACCTGCAGAGAGAGGCTTTGTGATCTGGAGCTCCGAGCAGTAGTACTTTTTATGGGCTTCGTAATTGTCCTTCTTCTTGTACCGAGCGCCACAGATGGTGCATTCATAGGTCATCCCTTTTGGCTTTGATCCCTTCTTGGTCTTTTTGGTCAGTTCACTTTCCTTGGGTTCTGGTTCCTCTGAGGGCTTGGAGGCTGCATCTTTGCTGCTTGGTCCGGGCTCCTCTGAACTGTACTCACCTCCCAAAGGTAGTTCAATGGCCGGCTGGCGCTTCAGCATCCGGGGATGGGAGGTAAACACCGGACTGCTGTGGCTTGGAGCCTGGGAATCGGTGATGTGGTCATCAAAGGAGTAGCTACCGCGGAAAGTGTGATGGGGGGTGCTGATGGTACAGGCGGCGGAAGGCATTGAGTGGCTTCTAAGCAGAGGCACAGGGGGGGTGGTGCTGGGTGGGTGCTGGAGGCTTAGTAGTGATTGTTCCGGCTTTGTCTTCTCACCGTGGGATGACAGGGGGTCCCGGTAGAGACTGGACTTGGGGGACTCCATGCTACTGCGCCTGGTCAGAGAGCTCCTCCTGGGCTTCACACTGTCAATCTCACTGGTGTCCACCACAGCCTCATTGATGGTGATGAGTTTTGTGATGTGCTCAATCACCTGGGTCCGGGGCACAGACAAAGGCACCAGGCTGGGCTTATCTTCTGCAGACAGGGGCAGCAGAGGCTGGGTGGAAGTAGCTGTCAGCATGGTGGTTCGCTGCCCGATCCTCCCACACTTGCCAAAAATGATCTCCGCATAGGACTTAGCATTGGTGTTTGGGGGACTGACTTGTTGTTCAGCACTCTCAGAGCGGGAGAAGTACCCAGATTCAGTACTGCCTTTGCTGCCCGGGCTCAGAAATGCTTGCTCATCAATTACTTTCTTCCTTTCACTCAGACGCAGGGCCAGCTTCTGCTTAATTGTGTGGGTGTCTTCGGGTTTATGGCTCAGAGGATGCTCGGATGAGGGTTCCACAAATGGGGTGGGGTCCTCCAATGATGTTGCCGTGCTGGACTGGGACAGGGAGCAGCGTTCATGACTGGAACTGTGACTCCCAGAGCTGTACAAGCTGCTGGATAGAAGAGGGTGCTTAGGTCTGGGGGAGGCCTCTGTAGGGGGGCCAGATGTGGTGGCAGTTTCTTCATCAGAGTCTGTGCTTTCTCCCTCGGTGGGTTCCTCAAATTCCTCCCCAGGGATCCTCTCCATCTCCAACCCCGGAGGATACAGCTCACTGCCAGTACCTGACGCCAGGCCCGCTTTGATGCGATGGGCATGAGACTTCCTGTGCTTGTAGAGGTTGCTCTTGGTCTTAAAGGAGAAGCCGCAGGGGCCGCAGGGGTAGGGCCTCTCGCCTGTGTGTGAGCGGATGTGTTTCTGTAGCACACTGGGCTTGGCGCAGGGCCGGCTGCAGTACTGGCAGATGTACTTGCCTGGTTTCTGGGGTTTCCTCTCTTTCTTGTGGGCTTCTTCTGTAGTCTTCAGGGTGACCTGGGAAGGTCGGGGTACAAAGACCTTGGGGATGCCAGGTAGTTCCTCAGGGGGAAGGATGGAGGCATGGGAAGGGAGGAGCTGGCTCTGTGGATGGAGCCCAGGGGTCACAAAGGAACCTGAAGGTCCAGGTCTCATGGGGTCGACCAGTTGCCACGTAGACCCTTCTAGGAGATGCTCAGGTTTTCCGGGTGACAGGAACGCTGGTGTCAGGGGGTGCTGTGGAAGCTGTGAGATGTGGACAGAGGTCTCGATGGAGGGCCTTCTGGGGGGCTTTTGCTGTTGGCCCATTTTCTCCTGAGAGCCTTCTCTAAGAACTGATGAGGGGCCTGGAAAGGGCTGCGGGGCTAGGAGCTCTTGGGAGGTGCTCTCCTGGGTGGCAGATGTGCTACTGCTTGCGTAGGGGGTGCTGGAGGAGACACTGGTCTGAACAGCTTCTCCTTTAGTCAGCCGCTTCCGGGGACTTCCCTCCACCTTCTTGGTACCCTTGACACTTTGTTCAGGATCCATGACCTTCCTGGAGACTTCAGATGCTATTTAGGGAGGGTTGGGGCAGGCTGCATTTATGAAGAATCTGAGTGTCCCAAGGAGCTGTCCAGCTTTGACCACATGGGTCAAGAGCTGTGGAAGCCGACCCCAAGACGGCTTTTGGATTTTTCTTTTTCTTTCTTCTTCTTCTTCTTTTTTTTTTTTTTTGCAAGTGTCACTGGCTGAAAGTAGATTCAGAGCAGGTCATCAGGGCCCAAGCCATTTGTAATCAGTGAGGCATGGCCCTTGACTTCACAGACAGAAAGCATGACAGTGCTTCCTGCCCATATGTCTGTCATGAAAACAGCATGGAGGATGTCAGTAGTGCCATTGTATCATGTCCTTTGGCAGTGACAAGTGGCCCCCACAAGTCCCCTGTGTACTATGCAAATGGCTGAAGGTTGGGGACCTCTGTGTCCATGGCCCAGGCATCCCTTGGCCCAGCTCAGGAGATGTCACACTGGATGCTGGTGGAGGCTCCGTCCTGGCCTCTTCACTTTAGTTCCACATTGGAGATCAACGAATGGCCCAGAAGGAGAAATCACACTCTTCTATAAGACAAGAACATACACAAAGACACATACATATAAGACAGAGAGGGCAGTTACTATGACACATCATCCATGGTCTGGTCAGCTGGGACTCAGAATCAAAGCTGAATGAGACACCCCCCCCACAAATGGTTACCAAGAGAAAGCTGTGGTATCCCTAGCTCCTCACGCCCAAGCATTGCTCATTCTGCCCTCACCCACCTAACAATGAGTGCTTGTGTGTGTATGTGTGAGTATGTGCTAGTCCTATTTGAACTCAGGATCTGGATGATGTCCTTGAGCTTTTTTGTTCAAGGCTATGCTCTACCACTTAAGCCACACCTCCAAATCTGGCTTTCTGGTGGCTACCTGGAGACCAGAGTCTCATGGATTTTTCTACTCGGGCTTCTTTGAACCATGATCCTCAGATCTCAGCCTCCTGAGGAGGATTACAAGTATGAGCTACAGGTGCCCGGTATGTGCTTGTGTTTCTGACACTGGCTGTATGGGGTATTGGGAGCTGGAGGCAGGGCAGGCTCTGGGACTGCAGGACAATTAAGTCAGGAGGTCTAAGCTCTCCTTCCTACTCTGTAACCCATTCTGTGGGAGTTCTAGCTCATCTAGCCTCTACTACCTTGCCTGTAAAATGAGTAATAGCAATTTTAGCCTCCCCTGCACTTGGTGGCCACATTGGTGTTGGACAAGGTAATGAATGTGGATGTGGTGGATGAACTACAGTTGGGTCTGGTCCAGAGCAGGAGAAATGTTCGTGAGTGTTCAGGATGAGCTCAAGGGGTATATTATTCTCCATTGATCTTTCTCATTGTGGATTTTAAAGTGCCACAAGGGACGTGGTTCATCTTGTGTCCCCCTTGCTAACTCGGTCCTCAGCCTGTGTTTCAGGGAAAGCTGCAAACTATGCCATAGCCTTGGAGGACTCACACTCCAACCTGGCTGCGACCATCACACTGATCCAACAGTTCTTCAGGAAGATCCTTCCAGAGGGTTCCTCCAGCTTTGCAGATTTTTCTTGCTCCGTTAGGGCTCCAGGGAGGTATTGGAAAGTGCTCAGGAGATGGCACCTTGCCAAGAGTGGGGAACAAAGCTGGTCTGCTGGTCGGAGTGGACCCTCTCTGCAGATGCATGCACTGCATTCTCTTTGGGTGGCCTGGACTTTCTAGGCTGGAGGCTTTTTCGGGGCCTTTCTCCCCAGGGGCAGGATCAAATTTCAAATTTGTACGTCACTATGATTGACTTCCTAGTTCAGGCCTACAGACAGAAAATGACCAACCTGACCCAAGCCTCTAAGTTAATTTGTCCCTCTGCCCTTTCTCCAGTGTCTTTCCCACCCCAGGTGAGGTCCTGAAGGACTTGGCCAGTGTTTCTGGGTTTCTCTCTTCTGTGTTTCCCAACCCTGATATTTTGACTCCTGGCTCCATTTCTATCCTTGTCTTGCTTTTCAATGGTTTTCTGGCACAGACTTGAACAGTTTGCTCATTTCACTTCTAGGGTCTTGGAAAATGAACAAGTCTGTAAGAGTCAAAGGGCAGGATCTCAGACCTCATGATATGCTGTGGAAGAACAGATGATTCCATCTTTTAGCTAAAAATTATACCCTGCAAGTTCATTCCTTTTTGTTTTTGTAAATCTGGGTTCACAAAGAATTCAAGATAATTATAACATAAATAAAATCAGGAAAGCACCTTCTGTTTCCAAAGTTGGGCCCACATGGCTGGAACCTAAAAGCAGACACCCAGAGGACATTCCCAGGGGATATGGGAGCTGGCCTCCATTGGGCAGGCAATGCCACTAGTCCTGGCAGGGAGCCAGCTGCAATCTGTCTCAGACTCCAGGCTGAGGATCCTGGGATACCGGCCAAGTGAGATAAGGCCAAGACAAGACGGGGATTGGGGCCCTGTGGCCAGGTTGCTTCTATGTCAATGTAACCCCAGATTTGTGGGGCTTAACACAGTTCTTTGCTTATAATTTGTGTAGTTACACATATGCCCCATAGCTCAAGGCCAGTCGAAAACCTGACTGACTATAATAACACACTGATCTCAAAATGCCAAGGAAGTAAACTTGCTTCCAGCTTCAGTAGCTGGGGACCTAGGGCTCAAGGCCATAGGCTATATGGTGAGATAAGAAGAACAGATGATAGTATGATTGAAGCACAGACTCCTGTCATCAGGAGAGAAATATACTGGCTTCTGTTGAAGCCATAGTTTATTAGCCTATTTTGGAACAAATACACCAGCTCACACTGGGGGCCATTCCTGGAGGACTGAAAATGGTTTGATTGTCTGCTTATCACACCCTACTCCCCTCCCTCAATCCATACTGGTGTTTGAACTAAGGGCCTCACCTAAGCAACAGTTTCGGCCCTTCCTTTATTTTTTGTAGGGTCTTGTGCTTTTGCCTGTAGCTGGCCTGGGAGTGAGTCTCTAACCTCCACTGCCAGGGTAGCTTGGATTACATATATGAACCACTAGGCTAGCTTATTTGTTAATGAGATAGTGTCTTGCTAATTTTTTGCCCAGACTGGCCTCAAACCATAATTCTTTTATCTTTGCCTCCTAAGTAGCTGGGACTGTAGGTATGAGCCACTGTACCTGGCTAACATCTTTATTTCTTGATTCTAGTAAATCTTATCAGTTTCTCATAACTGTATTAAACAACTATTTCATTCAGGGGATTATTTTTTTATATATTTTGTTTATGTTTCTAAACAAAAAATGTAATGGATTAAATTTTTTATTGCCTTATGTAAACTTTTCATATTGGGTATATCAATATTTTTTATCTAGGCTCCCAATATTTTCTCAGTATCTCTCATTAGCATATTGGCTATACAGAATGATTTTTATTTCAACTGGACTACCATTCTTCCCTTTTATAACTATAGATTTAATGGCCAAGTTTATGCTCTAGCATGCCACCCAAATGTCCTTAATGATTCATTTTGTCTGGCTCTTCCTTTGTGAAGAACTGTCTATAGCTCCACACTGCAGAGATAGTTGGCATTTTAGTTTTGTCATAACAGCCCACCCATCTCTCAGTTTTTCCACAATAGCTCTGTTCCCAAACAGCCTAATTGTATGAAAGACTCTGGGAAGAATACTCTAATAGGGGCTTGAATGACGACACACACATTGAAAGTTAGATTTGTAAGAATGAGACTCAGTCTGGGCTGGAGTCTGTGTGCAAAGCACGGGGAGTGGGAGCTTTTTGGGGCCTTGGCCTCCAGAGTATCTAGGTGGGGCCTCCACGCCACACTGGGGTGGAGTTATACTCAGCCCCACTCAGTGAAGGCTCAGTCATGTCAAGCAGATTCTCTAACAGCTAAGGTTGGCAACCAACCTTCAGGAAAGACACTACCCTGTCCCCATGGGTTAAGTAGAGGGTCATGTTGTTTGGCTAGACTGGGCTTTGGGGGTGATTGTCCCTCATACCCTCTGGTCAGGATGCATTCATGACAAAGAGGACTAACCTAAAGTGCATGGCCACCTTGTGTTGGACAACACACTTTCCCATTCAAAGGCTAGACAACACAGCTTCCTGGAGCATCCCCAGATAATCTGCTCTGGGTCAGGCCAACATTTAATCAGTTCATCAGCATCTTTCCCAGGAAATTTTCTCTCCTGGGCTGGGCACAGCTTAAGCCTATTCTTCCATGATATGGGGCTCAGTACTAAGAAAACTACTATAGTATTTCTTAAATACTTGACCAAGAACCTACCATGGGCCTTGATTGTGCTCGCCATTAGCTTACTCAGATTAGATAGGATCTGAACCTGAGATATAGGCCAATACTTAGGAATCACCTGCAGTGCTGGTATTGGTATGAGTAGCCTTGGTACATTTTGTCTGTCTCCCAGTCCTCCCTGTTCCTTTGGGGGAGGGGGGGAGGCTCCTCTGGTACAGCCATCTTGCACTTGCACTAGACCTGCTCTCAGTATGTCAATCACAGTGTAACCACGGTAATGGCTACAGGTTGGCCCTGAATGTCTCCCAACGACTCATATGTTGAAGGCTGGTTCCTGCTTGGGGCACTGTTTCAAAGTGGTGGTCTAGTCGGAAGTCTTAGGTCATTGAGGGTATATACTCAAGGGGAATTGTGGAACCTAAGTTTCTGTTGCTATCTTCTCTCTTTTGCTTCCCAGCCTTCAGAAGAGAGTGGCTTACTTCACCTTACACTTCTGCCAAGAAGAAAAGTGTCACCAGAGAATCCAAAGCAATAGGGCCAATGGAATATAGACGTAAACCTTTAAAACAGTAAATCCAAAGGTTAGTCACTGTCTGGAAATCTCTTAAATAATGTTTATTCGAATGATTGACCTTTGTGTTCCTCCCCTTCCTCTTCACCTCCCACCTAAGTCCTAAGAACCTACCTTAGGATTTCTACAGACTGGTCAAAAAGTACATTCTGTTTATACAAAGAGAAATCCAGGCAGTCCTAAGTGTTACATCTGGTTGGGTGTCTGTCTTCTTGTCAGAGAGACTACAGGCCATCACCAGGGAGGAAACAATCATGGGGGAAAGGAGGAATACGTTCCATAGTTGGGGCCAAGCAATGACACATCACAACTCTACTCTGCCCAACCTTCAGAAGCTACCCTTTTGGTCTGTGCTTGTGATAGCTCAGGCGATGGTGGGGTAAGGCCAGGATCGATGTCAAGATTAAACACTGAATGCTTACTATGTTATGTGTTCTTGTATAAAGCAACTCACTCATTTATTCTTTACAATAACAACTTCAGGCAGGTACCATGAGGTCATCCTCATTTTATAGATAAGGAAACTGAGGCACAAAAGAATCAAGCTGTGAAATAGCAGGCCCAGAGCCTGAGCCCAGGCCACCATGCCAACATTGCAGACAGGACTCTGTGGGTTACCAAACACTGCTCCAAGTAGCCGTCCTTCCTGTCACATGGACTGAACTGGCAAGAGTTTTTCCTTCTATCTGGAGAACTATCTGTAGCACTTAAGTCTTGCTCCCAGTGAGACTGAAAATGAAGTGA